TTTTTTTTTTTTTGAGTTAGAGTCTCACTCTGTCACCCAGACTGGAGTGCAACTTTTAGTACACTGCTGTGGTAGGTTTTTAGGTAAACTTTCTCATCAGTTTTTCTGCTTTCATGGGTGCAACATTTTTCAGATAGTCTTTAGAAAAGTGCTCCAAAATGACTTTCTCTATAATGACAGTATACTATATCTGTTTGTAACTGACCACCAAAAGATAAGACATGTAAATCAGTATTCTATGTATAATATACAACTATTACCATAGCAAAATAAGAGTGCAATCATGGTGCATTATGTACTAATGAATAAGTAAAGAATAATCTGCCTCTTTTGACGTTTATATAGAACTGTTAGAATACAGAACATAGGAATTAGTCCACTGTGTCAGTCCTATAGTTCATATAATTCTATTTTCAAATCTCAGACATACTCAGTTTCTCTTAAATTCTCTTACTTGTCTATCAATTATAAATTTGCCCATAATTTCCTTGAGTTTTTAATACATTTTTTTCCTGGCACTCTTTTTAGTGTACTGAGTTTCATAAGTTTACTATGTGCTGTATAAGGTATAGTCATGTGTTGCTTAATGATGGGGATATCTTCTGAGAAATGTATCATTAGGTAGTTTTGTTGTTGTATGAACAGCAGGGACTATACAAATGTAAATAGTATAGCTTACTACACACCAAGATTCTATGGTATAACCTATTGCTTTTAGGTTACAAACCTGTACAGCATATTACTGTACTGAATACTGTAGGCAACTGGAACATAATGGTAAGTATTCATGTATCTAAATATAGAAAAAGGCCAGGCTCGGTGGCTCAGCCTGTAATCCCGCGCCTTTGGGAGGCTGAGGTGAGTGGATTGCCTGAGCCCGTGGGTTCGAGACCCGCCTGGGCAGCGAGACCTCATCTCTACAATAAATCAAAAAATCAGCCGGGCGTGGTAGCACGCGCCTGTAATTCTAGCTACTCGGAAGGCTGAGGCGGAAGGATCGCCGGAGCCCCAGGTCGAGGCTGCGGTGGCCGGGAGCGGCCACTACACTCCAGTCTGGACAGAGACTCCAACTCAAAAAAAAAAAAAAAAAAAAAAAAAAAAAATATATATATATATAGAAAAGGTACAGTAAAAATATGCTTTTATAATCTCATGGAACCACCGTAGTACTTGCAGTCTGTCATTAGTTGAAACATCCTTACATGGTGTATGGCTGTACTTCCTTTCTTTTGCTCTTACATTTATATTTCAGACTTCATGGAGTTATTCCAATATTCCAGTAATAGGTGAACAGATTTTGTGTACCTTGGAAATCTTGATAACAAGCTTCTCAGTTATTATGTCTTCAACTGAAGATTTAAGTTTTAGTCTCTTCTCATGGGGAACTTCCTTATTGTTTGATAATTCTGATTTAATTTTAGTTCTCTGGACTGTCCCTACATTTCTTCCTTTGATCCAAATAGTATATTTTATGCTTTTTTGATGAAATAACTATCTTCTGTAAATATTGCTCAACTTCTCAATGTGGTGCCATGCCCAGGGTAGAAACTAACATATATTGGTATCGAGAACAGATTGTTCCTATTCATTATACTATTCAAACTGTACTGTTGATGGAAGAAATACTGAGAGTACCAAGAAAATGTATACACATTTTAAAAGATGTTAAGAGATGTTCGCCGTAATCAGAAGTGTCTGGATGCTGATGGCAACCACTATGAACATCTCTTGTAATTGCAGAAGTCAAATGTGACTTGTATTCATCTTATTGAGTATTACAATTTTAATACAATTATTTTCCTTTCTTAATATGTGTATATACTTTTTGGCACCCTCTGTACTTGTATATATGAAAATGAAAGTCTTGTGCCCAAACAGGCCCAGATTCACGCTGCATCCATACCACTATCACATGGTACATTTAAAAAAGCCACACTTCTCCAGTGCTTTCTCTGCGTGTTATTTTTCTTTGTGAGAAGGGCCTATTTCTGTTTGTCTTTGTTTCTTGGCAGAGCTCTTGGTACAGTTCTTTTCTGGTATAATTTCCATCTTAAATATTCTCTTTAGGAAGGAATTAAGGTATCTCCAATTTGAATTTCCCTTTGCTTTGGAAATTATGCAGATAATTTAGACCCAGCACTGGCAAGTTTAGAGATGATAGTGTGTGTCTTGATGCCACAAAATAGCAAGTTCATGTGCGAAGGAGTCTCCCTTCAGAACTTTGTAAAGCAAACAGTAGGTTCTTCATTGAAACAAATGAATAAAATATTTTTTATTAATAATAGTGATAAAACAGTTTATGTTTTTCAGCATTTTGTGAATTTCAGAGCATTATATACATTCTAGATGTTACTATTTGGTTCCTCAGTGAGGATAATAGAACAAGCATTATTATACTCTCTTATGAATAAAGAAAAAAAAACTTCAAAGGGTAGAGTGACTTGTTTGAGGTTGTGTAGCAGAGAAAGGGCTTATAATCTGTCTTCTGACTGCTCTTTTTTTTTTTTGAGTTGAAGTTTCACTCTGTCTCCCAGGCTAGAGTGCAGTGGCATGCTCACGGCCACCGTAGCCTTGACCTACTGGGCTCAGGCGATCCTTCTGCCTCAGCCTTCCAAGTAGCTGGAACTACAGGCATGTGCCACCATGCCTAGCTAATTTTTAAAATTTATTTATTTAGTTTAGCGATGAGGTCTCCCGCCAAGTTGCCTAGGCTGATTTTGAACCTTTGGTTTCAGGCAGTCCTCTCACCTCGGCCTCTCAAAGTGCGGGGATTATAGGTGTGGTCCACCACGCCGGCCTGGTGACCAGTCTTGATGGAGGACTTTATTTACAGAAGGGGAAGGTCCTATCTTGTGCAAGTTTAAGAGAGCACCAGAGGCCTGTGCTACCAGCCAACAGTCCGTGTTTTTGTCCCTTATTTACAAGTGAATAAAAATGAGTGCTTTATTGCAAATACAGTGGGACGGAAGGAAACTACTTTGAGGAAAATAAAACAGACTGTTCAGATTTTTTCCGTGTGAAGCCAAGCCTAAAGTCACTGGTACAACTGCCTTACAAGTTTGCCAATGAACCTTCTGGAAAAAATTTGGCAGGATATGAGCATGCAAGTAGCTGTTAAGAAAGGGAATGAGAGAAAGGAAGTGAGCTTTATAAAATACCTGGGCAGGAATTTTTACTCAATATTTTTTTATTTAAAAAAACTTTTAATAAAGATAATTGGTGAAATACGAATTTGTTAGGGAAAGAAAACCAGATTTATGGTTTATTGTTTCTGAAATTAAATAAGCCATGAACCCTTCACAGCACATTGTGGCCTAAAATGTCCTTAGATATGTCTGGGGTTTTGCGATGAGGTATTCTTTCCTGTTTTCCCCTACCTTGTTTACTTATTACTAAGTTTGATTTATGGAAGAGTGTAAGGAAAAAAATCTCACAAATCAGAGGAAGTGAAGAAAAGAATCTTCATACTTCCTTGTTAGTCCTTTGATCTGGTCACAGCCAGGTACATACTGGAAGGAATTGAATGGCCTGGATCAAAGCCCTTAGAAAGTGCCAGTGTGGGGTGTTTGTGTGCAGGATTGGCCTCATTTTGTTTTGCCTCTTTGAACCCTCCCATAGAAAGTGGGAAAGGGAACTGCCACTTACCAAGCACCAATCACTGTCTCAGATACTTTTCACATCAGTACTGCAAGACAAGTGTGATGACCATCTCCGTTTACAGAGGTCATACAGATTATCAAGAAGTAAGAGTGGGGGAGGCAGGATTTTAACTTTGGTCTAAACAGTGTGCCCATGCTCTCAGAATACTTTTCTTTAGCTGTGGAGGTTTAGAAAATATTTTTTGCTTTGGAAAGTTACTTAGCTATTTTATTATTTATTTTTTTGAGTTGGAGTCTCACTCTGTTGTCCAGGCTGGAGCAGCCTCGACCTGCTGGGCTCAGTTGATCCTTCTGCCTCAGACTTCCAAGTAGCTGGAACTACAGGCACGTGCCACCATGCCCAGCTAATTTTATTGATTTATTGTAGAGATGAGGTCTCACCAAGTTGCCTAGGCTGATCTTGAACCCGTGGGTTCAAGCAATCCTCTCACCTTGGCCTCCCAAAGTGCTGGG